GTTTTTTCCAATTCAGTTCCTCCTATGATGACTAAATCTGACTGGAACGGTTTAATGTTTTGTTATTGCGACATTTAGGCTATTGTACCCCCCACATTAGTTGTGTGGTTATGTAGTTTTACTATTATGTTGTAAAAGGATGACTAATATTGTCGTCTTATATAAGAACCTGTAAGGACTTCCATTCCATTCGTTCTTTCAGTTTGAAGGAAACAGTCATTTAGGAGCGACTCTAACATTAGATCCTGGAGGACAGAGGTAAAGTCACATGCTCTTCTTTGTATTCTGTTCTGTAGTTCTACAAATTTATTAATATTATATTGAGATACAGTTATATACAAATATCTCACACAGAATGTAACATTTAACTGGATAAAAAATATATAATTCTAGCTGTATATTTTTGTATTTTTTATATATATTTATATACTTCACTGGTCTTTATTCTTTCAAAATTTCAAAATATTTTTTAAATATTCTTCTTTTTCCAGAAGGGTTGACTGCACGCATTATAAGAACCATGTTTCACATCCAAGGACAACGTAGTTGGAAACTCCTGCCGTGTATTTTGTTATCATTGGTAAGTCATTAGAAACTAGTGAGTGAGCAGATTTCAAATTTCACAAATATGTGCATAATGATTGTGTTCTTAGTCACACAGCAGATATTTGGCAGATGTTTTGAGGTTAAACTACAGTTTCAAGGGTTAGCCCAGTGATGACATCATCCATTTGCGCAATACCAAGCCATAAATTCAACTGTTATGAACTGTTACCCTTTTAACTGTCATGAACTGTTTTACCTCAGATCGTAGGCGTCGTGACGGGGCAGCGCAGCGTCAGCAGCAAAAGTGATTGTTCTAAAAATGAATACTGGAGCGACGGGCTCTGCTGTGACAAATGTGCTCCAGGTACACTGTCTGAAATGTTTAACTAATACCAGCGGAATAACAGTTTTTCAGGGAAATAGCCTGTTTAATCTCTTCATCTGTCATGTATTTTTCTTCAGGGTATAAATTCGTAAGAAAATGCACTAGTGACTTGTCATCTCAATGTGAGAAATGTTCGAATGGGACATACCTAGACAAGATGAACTATTTCCCAAACTGCTTCAGATGCGAGAAATGCACCAAGCCAAGCAAGTAGCCTATGATACAGTTTCATTTCCTTTCATGACTTCTGTAATGAACTTAAAATTTAAATGACGTATATACTGTACATATTTTGCGGTGTTGATTTTGTTTAGATGTTCACTCTTTTTTCTTTGACTGCTTCTCCGACAGATGCGGTGGTGATTTCACCATGTACACCCCAAAATAACACCGTGTGTGGATGTCAGTCTGGATACTTCAAAAAGTCCTTTGATAGCATTTCATGGAAGTGTGTGCCTTTTAAACGCAAACCAAACGGCAGGAAAGCCTTATTTTTTTCCTCAGAAATTATGTGAAGGTTAGTCTGAAGTATGACCGAAGAACACAGCTCTGCCTCCAGCATGAACAAATATCTCAGACAAAAATGTCAGAATATATGGAATCTACTTTCCCTTTATTTTCAGCTGAATTAAGATGTAGCCTTATAAAGCACAATGTATTTATTATATTTGATACATGAGTTTCTAAATTATTAACATGGTCAAAAGTTGGGTGAAAATCTGTTGTACACAATCTACTACTGTGTTCCTCTTGACTGGTAGTTCATGCTTTTTATTATTAAGTAAAATACCTTTTAGTATAATTATAAAAGTATCCACATGGTACATGTATCTAATAACTTTTATAATGTTAGTAAATTATTTCAAGATGAACATGGACTGAAGAAATAACAATTTTTAGGTTTATCTAATTATTCATACATCATTTTCATGTCATGTGACTTTACCTCTGTCCTCCAGGATCTAATGTTAGAGTTGCTCCTAAATGACTTTTTCCATGAAACTAAAAGAACGAATGGAATGGAAGTCCTTACAGGTTCTTATACAGTATAAGACGACAGTATTAGTTTTTTTTTTTTCACTCTGTAATCACACACATTTGTTTGTACATATCTCACTCATTGTATTGCATTGCATTATATTTTTTTAAAATAAAAAGTGACAACTGATATTTACAGGCATTTTTTGTAAGTAGCCTGCTATACTCTTAACCCTCTATAGTACGGAGTTGCCATATGGCAACAATTAATTTCTACTCATCTTCTTGTTTTTCTGAAAAAAAATACAATATGTGACCCTGGATCACAAAACCAGTCATAAGGGTACATTTTTTGAAATTGAGATTTATACAGTTGAAACAATAAGCTTTCCATCGATGTATGGTTTGTTAGGATAGGACATTATTTGGCCGAGATACAACTATTTGAAAATCTGGAATCTGAGGGTGCAAAAAAATCTAAATATTGAGAAAA